TAAGTTTAAGGTCCACTTGATAAAGTGGACTTTTCTTGTCCAGTTTTCGAACTTCATCAATTCGAAAGACGGTGTGCATCGAGAAGAGAATTTCCTCTTCGTCCTTGTAATAACTCACCTCCTGGATGGAGGCGAAAGGAGTCGATGAGACAGTAGGATCTACTGTCATTTGAAAGAGGATGCCGACCATATCGATCGTTTCTAATGCATCTTTGGCGAAACCGAGGGAAACATCTCGTTTTGTACTGGTGGATAAAAAGTTGTTGAAAGATATGAGACCACCTTTGTTTTTTGCAAGTTTTTCGAAGTCACTTGTCGATAATCCTTGACCCCTATAAACTAGAAATGACTTTCCATGATATTGACTGATCTGTTGGCTGTGTAATTCTTCAATTTGTCGATGAACATCACACAGGAAAAATCCCATTCGGATGATAATGTCGCCATCCAAAGTTCTTAATGCTCGATTGAGCATTTTGTATGTGAAGCATTGGCGTGTATACCACCATAATGCCAATGTTGGATGGTAAGCACGTTGAAATTCATTGATTAACTTGAGTTCTTTGGTATTGCCTTCGTATTGTTCTTGGCAATATGTGACCAAGTCTTTAACGGCTTTTTGACCATGTTCCATATCAAGGAGTATTTCCTTGAATATTTGAGTATACATGAAGGAAGGCTCTAGCTGATTGAGATTTTCGCTAGAACCTCCTTCATTGACACCGATAATACTGACTGTTACTTGATCTTGATTGCATTGTTTGACAGCCAGTGCCAGTTTTTCACAGATGTGCTTAATTGATGTATGCACACCTTTAATTTTGGGCCAATTTTTAGTCCATTCTTGGTGACGTTGCTTGTTGCCACAAAAAATGTATATGGCATCCAATTTTGGCATGCCATGAATTTCTGGTACCAAGTGTTGTCCTAATGCACCTGAGGAGATGATGAATGATGTCTCCTCATTGTTTTCCTGGAGTTTCTGAATACATTGTTCGGCCGTGGTGCACGGATTAACTTCATTAACAACGCCGCGCAATTGTGCGAGTGTATTCTGGCAATCTTCATTTGCCATGTCAATAGCACCATCGACCCAGATGACCAGGTAATTTTCAGCCATTCGTTGTCGTCGTTGTCTACTCATTTTCGATGTTGTTTTTGACGTTTGCTCGACGATTGAATATTGTGAAGAATCAATTGTTGTTTGGATAGAGACCACTGTTTTCTATTTATATATTC